GAAATTTAATTTTTATGTTTAGAATATGAGTCTAAGAGCTTAGATTTAGCTGACTTATTTATTTAAATTATTATGTGTTGAGTTTTGAGAGAGGTTTTAAATAAAGGTTTTAATAATTTTTTAATATATTTAAAAATTAAAATTTATAGTTAATTATTTATCATTTTTGTAATATAATGTAATTTGTTGTTGTTATTGTTACTAATTTAAGATATATGATAAAGGAGTTTTAAATAAAGATTTTAATAATTTTTTAATATATTTAAAAATTAAAATTTATAGTTAATTATTTATTATTTATTATAATGTAATTTGTTATTATTATTGTTATTAATTTAAGATATTTGAAAAACGAGAAGAGATAGTGTTTATATAGATTATAATTAATTTTTTTATGGATAAATTAGAAGCACTCCATTATTTAACTATTCATCTAGATGAGTTACAAAATATAATTACAATTTTAGCTATACAGTCAACTCAAATTAATATAGAATGGGCTATAATTAAGCTAGATTTAATAAAGTTGAGTGCTTCAGCGGGGGTTGATGGTAATGTTAATATACCATAATAGAACCGTGAAAGCTGAATATTAGGATTCGATTACATAAGTATAAAATTATGTTACATAGTTCTAATTTGATTTTGTTAGAGGCTGATAAAGAATTATATTTGGCAAAGTTACGTTTACATTTAGGAAGAGCAGTGATTAGTTGAGTATTTAAAGTTTGGGCTTATTAGTGGTGATGAATGGGAATACTTAATAATTCCTCATGATGAGTTGATTAAAGATTTATGAATTATTTTAATGACATAGTGTATAATTAATTTTGGTTATGTTAAATATTATTTATAATGTATAATAGGATTTATTTATTAGGTAATTTTTGTTTGATTTTGAAGAAAAAGGAGAGAGAAGCGGAAGGGTGATTGGATAATTTTTGAATTTTTATTTTAAAATTTTTATTTATTTAAGATTTTATATATTAAAGTTTTTCTTTTAATTTATATTTTTATT